TTGAAGAAGTAGACTTCATATACTTTTTCAGTGTAGTTGCAGAAACTCAACTGTGGTTTTAATTTTAGTGAGTGATTTATTTTGAACTAATTTAAATGTTTCTGATTTATTTTCCACCACTGTAATAAAATGGAGAAAATAAAGCTCAAGAGTCACCTAATTTTTGATTTGGAATATGTAGCTGGTTCTTAGTTGATTCCTATGAGCAAAGAGAGCTAATAGCCCTCTTCCACAAACTATTTGCCGAAGGCATTGCCTTTGAATATATCTACCTAAGTGGACTATTTGTTGAACTAGCAATGAGATTCCAATTTAAGCTTCAAAGTAGGTGCTTATATATTGTGCTTAAGGTGCATGCCTAGTTATGCATGGAATAACAGGTACCAATGCTCATGTGGCAGGGGCAATTCCCTTAAAGATCCAGCTTCCAAGGCGTATGCACAGCTATTTGCTCCCCATCATGGTTGGACAATCAGAAAAGTTGTTACTGCAGGGATGTATCCCCATCATTGCTTCCTTTCTCTGCCAAAAATATAAACATATTCCAAAAAAAATTCCATGCCATCAAATAATTATACCAGGTTGCTAACAATATACATTTGTTTACGTGTTTTGTTTGATTCTTCTGATCCATACATACAGAATCGAAAGAACTAATAAGAAGGCCAGAGTCCTATGGAATAGTATGGTGCTCTCATTGTTATGGTCTCTGTGGATGGAACGGAATGGCATAATTTTTTAGGAAAAGGCGATGGGGCCAATTGATATTTTTGAGAAGGCAAAGTTCTATGCATTGTTATGGGCTGCTTCAGGGTTCTCGTTTACTTTGGTCATTTTGAATTGGAAAGATGTAATAGGGAATTGATTGGAGATACCGTTTATGTGTTTATCTTACTCTTTTTGTATGTTAGTAAGTTTTTCACACCTGGCCATTTTTGTTTCTTTTTGGTTTGAGGATACCTTTGTCCTCTACCCTTGTTATTGAATTTTATCAATAAAGTTTTTATTATCAAAAAAATAAGCACGTAAAAAAAATAAGCAAAATGTGCCATAAAACAATACTTCATATATTTATTTCTTTTTACTTAAACAATCCAATGCAAGTAAATAAATAAACAGCATAGCTTCACGCTAGCATGCTTCATTAATAATCCTATTATACCAATGGTATTTTGATTAGGAAATGATAATCCTAATCGAAGCTAGGCGGCTCCACCTAGCCCGATCCGAGGGCCTCACCTATCAATGTGTGAATTTGCTCATTTACGTAAGTGTGTGTGTATGGATATGAATATGTTTGAAATGTTCTTTATTTGTGGTCTTATAATTAATTATCATTTGGTTTAGCTCATTTCTTGGCATGAAATTTCTCCACAAATTATCATATTTTCTTACAAATTTTTTAGAAGAACCCCACCAAAATTGATAATTATGGTATTTGGTTGTGTTATCAAGACTGCAACTGTCTTTGCTAAGCTTTGCAAGAGAGAGCACAAAACAATTCCACAACTCGAAGACTACAACTGTCCCTGAGTAATTGTCACTAATGCTTCTTTTAGTTGTAATTATATTGTGAATGAAGAAATGAAAAAAAAAAGAGAATTAATTATCATAAATTGATTGTTAAAAAATTCAAAATCATAACATTATGTGTTTTTAAAGGTTAACAAGTATTTTTAAATACAAAAAACAATTATATATATTTAAGTTTCATATCATGTCTATTTTGGTCATTTTACATACCCACAGCAATTCCACCTCAAAATTTACCAAACGCTATTATACTGATTTTGGAACCAACACAGCTACTATAATTACAATTTACCAAACACTCAGCTACTTCTTGAAACAGCTGCTTCTTCCTTCAGCACAGCTAAAAGTACTTTTTTTAAAATCCACAGTACTACCAAACTAAGCCTATGTAGCATTAAACACAAACAATGTTATAACTATCATTAGTAATTGTGTTAGTCTTAAATTTTTTAAAAAGAATACAATTTTTTCAAAAAGATAATTAGAAATGTGCCACCATAATTCACTTTTTTATTAGTTTCTGCTCCTTTCTTAAAATTTTGCC